CGTGTGGGTGAGAGGAGAGGAGTGGTTTGTAGCAGTTTAAAGATGGTGGAGATCATGAAAAGCATTTTTGAAACCTCAAAAGCCACCCGCATGTTTCTAGACCATGGAGGAAAAGCCAGTAGAGAGTGAAAACAGGAGGAAGAAGGGATAACAAACGGAATTCTCACGGGATAAACAAACGCCCGTGTACCGAGCCTGGAGAGGAGGGGGGTGCTCCCATGGGGTTCACAGACAGTTTATTCCATCTGAACTGACACTTTGTGTCAATCTCCCCCTGACAGCGCCCTTTCCGTCTGTCAGCAAACGCCTCTCTTCTCCGGATCTGCTGTCTGTGTGCTGCAGGAGCTCTGGACCTCAACCATGGGAAGCAGCTCCTCCAGCCAGCACCACTTTGCTTTTCAGAATGCTGAGAAAGGTAAGTGCTTCTCTCCTTCAAAGCTAGCCTTGGTGAGCAGAGCCCACGCTGTGTGGGGTGGAACTCCTCAGGACGGAAGCATTGACTTGTCCTCAAGCCCCCTCTTGGAAATCGCTGGCTCCTTGGCAGTGACCGACCGCCAGCGTGCTCAGCAGACCATCTGAGCTGATAGAATTAAAATGTTCCCAGCAGCTCCTGTTGTCAGAGTTTATCCAGACTGTACACGAGTGGATGAAATGATGTTGGGCAAACGGGAATGAAAATGCTGTGTAGAGGGTCCACCCTGTACCAGGGTCAGTGGGGAGGAAAAACTGATGCCCATTCATGGAACGGAACGGTCTAAAGTGAAGACGTGGAGAATTAAAGGGGGTGGAGCTGTTGAGGTTGGCAGAACATAGAGCAGTCCTAATCTTGCAGGATTTTGTTTGTTTATTTGGGGTCTTTTAAAGTAGAGATTCACTGTGTAGCCCTGGCTGCCAGCAACTTGTTATAGACCATGTTGGTCTCCAACTTGCCACAATTCTCTTGCCTCTGCCTCCCAGGGGCTGGTATTGGGGGTATGTACCACCATGTCCAGCCTTCTGTAGGACTAAACTTTATTCCAAAGGCATGAAGGACGAAAGAATTCAAAATAAGGAATTCTATAATAATATTTTTACCTCTTCAAAACATCCCTGGCTTCTGTGAAGAAAGGATTGAAGAGAAAATAGAAAGAAATGAATTTATAGAGCTACTATTGTCATCCGTATTAGCTACTTTTGCATGGATGTGACCAAATACCTAACAAAACAAATTATTATTATTATTATTATTATTATTATTATTATTATTATTATTGTTATTATTGACAGGGACTCACTATGTGGCTCTGGCTGTCTGGGTAGTGCTGCCCCCACCATCTTGTCCCCATCTATACAATGGGGCAGGGTCTGCACACCACCCTCCCCTGCTTCCTGCTCCATCTCTGGGGGTCCCTACTCACAGGCTTGTCTCTTTATCTGGGTTACAGCCTTCAAGGCAGCGGCCCTGATCCAGAGATGGTACCGGCGCTACATGGCCCGCCTGGAGATGAGGCGGCGATGTACCTGGAACATCTTCCAGTCTATAGAGTATGCTGGACAGCAAGACCAGGTCAAGGTTCGTGAGGATGCCAGCAGGGAGGGGGAACTGCCTGCCAGCCCCGGCGGCTGGCCTGGTGCTTGAAGGTTCAGCTGATTCTGGATTCTCTTTCCCTTGTTTTTAAAGCTATCCTTGTCTGGTTTTTCCACAGCTCCATGATTTCTTTAGCTACCTTGTGGATCACTTCACGCCCAGTAGCCACCACGAGAGTGAGTATGAGTTGTCATGTAACATGGTCTTCTGTCTGAATATCACAGGTTCAATGTGGGTGGGGTTACACAGAGAGGGGATGAGGAATCTGGAGAGAGGTCAAGATTGAGTGAGATGGTCAGCAGATGAACGACAGAGTAAACTTTTCGCTTGGGCTCTCCTATAAACATTCCTGGAGACAAGATTTTAAGTGCAAGGAGTTGGTTTTCTTTTCTTCCTTTTTTTTTTAGAATTTTTTTTTTAAGATTTCTTTATTTATTATGTATACAGCATGTATGACTGCAGGACAGAAGAGGGCACCAGATCTCATTACAGGTGGTTGTGAGCCACCATGTGGTTGCTGGGAATTGAACTCAGGACCTCTGGAAGAGCAGTCAGTACTCTTAACCTCTGAGCCATCTCTCCAGCCCCAGAAGTTGGTTTTCTAAGTGGCAGGAAACACTGGAGGTGGGAGGAAGTGGATCGGGATGGAGGGGCTGGAGAGAGATGCAGGAAACGGAGAGTAGACTGCTAGCCAGCAACTCGGGAGGCCTAGGAAATAATGAAAAATGAGCCTCCAGACACCAAAATCTTGGGGCAATGTCAGCCTGGGAGTCCCTAATTGAAGGCCTCCTGGAGAGAAGGGTCGGGGGGGATGGTTGCCTTCATAGTCTTTCTGGTCTGCCAATGATGGTCCCCTGCAGTCCAGGAGGGAAACCCTTGGCCTGGACCTTCAGAGGCTGGCAGTTGGAGGAGGCTGCAGTGCTGGGAATGGTCTGAGCCCCTGCTGTGCCCACTGAACAAAGTGAATGGCCCAGAATCTTTTCCTCCTTGGCCTTGTTCTGACCTTCCTCCTGCCTTCACAGGCCTCTCCATTTCTGGACTTTCTCTGACCAACCTTTTATTTAAAAAAAAAATAGATTTATTTTAAATCACATGTAAAAGTGTGTAAGCACACGTGAGTGCAGGTGCCGGAGGGGGCCAGCAGAGGGCACCAGATCCCCCTGGAGCTGGAGTTACAGGACTTTGTGAGATGCCAGAGTGATGGGAATCTAACTCAGGGTTTTTGGAAGAGCAGCGAGCATTCCTAACTGGGAGTCATCATCTCTCCATCGCTGTTTTCTGGTGATTTTTAAAAAGTAAATGTAGACTAGATACCAACTAACGATTGTACTGACACAGAAACACAGCCTTCCTCCTGTGCCCCTTACTCCTCTCTCTCCGGTATCCCTGTCTATCCTGGGCTGGAGCCAGCGCCAGGCTGGCGCGGTCCCACCCCATTAACAGTCCCCACGAGGTCTGATCCTAAGCTGGCCTGCCTTTGCCCTCTGTGTCTGGACTAGGGGACTTCCTGAACCGCATGTTCACCGAGGAGAGATTCGCCCAGGATGTGGAGACGGAGAAGGGCGGTGACTATGAATCCATAGAGGTGCCCGACAGCTACACAGGGCCACACCTCTCCTTCCCCCTTCTTCCCGACCATGCCACTGCCCTGGTGGAAGCTTTCAGGCGGAGACAAGTAAGCTTAAGCTGGGGTGCGGTGCAGGTCCCCACCGATTTGTATTCATGAGTAAAGGCGGAGCAAACCAGCCCCGGAAGTACAGCCAGGCTCCTGCGGTCCATCAGCCGGGTCTCTAAGATCGAAACCTGTGCGGTTTCCTTCATTCAGCCTGCAGGCAGCTGGTGAGGGCTTCCGGGAGGCTCACGCTGATCCGGGGACTGGGGATGCAGCTGACGCAGCAGCGGTGTAGGAGGACAAGGACTAAACTAATCAGTCCGTGTGTGAGTGAGGACTAAACTAATGAGTCAGAAAGTGATGAGCGCTGTGGAAGAGAGGCCAGCAAAGAGGCAGTTTTAGAGTCTGGGAAGGAGATACCTGAGCAAAGGTCCGGAGTGGTGAGGGATACACCTGAGCTATCTGGGAACTGAGTATTCTAGCCAGAGCTGCAAGTGCAAAGACCCTGAGGAAGGATCTCCGCGGACTGTTCCGGGACCCCGGGAAGGCCACTGTGGTTAGCAAGGAGGAATCCAGGGGGACGACGAGAGACGCAGAGGCAGAAGCACAGGAATGGCCTTCCCGCAGCTCTTCAAAATCGTCACTGTGTAGTGGGGCTCGGTGGCTCACACCTTTAATCTCAGAATTGGGAAGCTGAGGCAGGCTGATCTCTGTGAGTTCAAGGCCAGCTGGGGTCTAGATCGTGAGTTCCAGGACAGTCAGGGATTCACAGTGAGAACCTCTCTGGAGTAATGATAAAATTATAGTGCTTGCTGAGCTGAGACTGGCGTGCAGGGTGAGGGCTGAAGCAGGGAGACCTGTCAGGAGACAAAGGTCCAAGCAAAACCCTGTCTTGGTTTGACACCCCCATGGCCAGTGCAGAACTGGTAAGAAGCGGTTCAGTTCTGAGAGGTGCCTAGACCTCAGTCCTTCAGCTTTTTGACAAGATGGAAGCCGTGAAGGAGTTGGGGTGCTGTTTCTAAGCAACAGCAGGATCAGTCCACACTATCAATGTATACGTTAATTCATGCTTTGCTACTGCGGACATGCACTGCTCCCTAAGGGCAAAGCAGAGTTTTATAGACTAGACAGGAGAGACGAGGTGACTCAATGTCACAGAAGGGAAGAAAAGTAGAAACTAAAACAGTTGAGTGAAGAGGATCCATAGTTTCCTGGGGTCTGGGGTGGCTGGGCATTCACCGGCAAAAGTGGGACCACCGGTGTCCTTTCGTTCCGACTCTTCCTTCTTCCCAGTAGCAGCTCCACGCTCGCTATGTCTTGAATCTTTTGTATGAGACCAGGAAACACCTGGCCCAGCTGCCGAACATCAACCGGGTCTCTACCTGTTACAGCGAGGAGATCACAGTGTGCGGTAAGTGGGAGCCACCTTCCCTGGCTAGACACAAACCAGAAAACACTAAAGGCGGGCCAGGAGAAGGAGCTGAGTCGGAGGGAGCGTGATGGTGTGTGAAGAGCAGGTCAAAGCATCTCTCCTTCAGCTGACCATGTACACAGTTGTCCCACACTTATTTAAAGGAAATATGGTTCAGAGAAGCAATTCATAGTGACTCCGAGTTCACCTTCCATACTGAGAATAAAATCACCACAATAACCAACCAACAGCAAAGAACAAACTAAGAAACCCCACCCTGTAGCTAAAGTTTTCCTGCCTGACCCATAGTCAGGACAAATCTCTCTCACCTGACAGTCCCACAGCCGTCAGACCCAACCAAGTAAACACAGAGACTTATATTGCTTACAAACTGTATGGCCACAGCAGGCTTCTTGCTAACTGTTCTTACAGCTTAAATTAATCCATTTCCATGAATCTATACCTTGCCACATGGCTCGTGGCTTACCGGCATCTTCACATGCTGTTTCTCATCGTGGCGGCTGGCAGTGTCTCTCTGCCTCAGCCTTCCACTTGCCAGCTTTATTCTCCTCCTTGCCCCGCCTACACTTCCTGCCTAGCCAATGGCCAATCAGTGTTTTATTTATTGACCAATCAGAGCAACACATTTGCCATACAGAACATCCCACAGCATTTCCCCCCCCCTTTTTTTTTTTTCAAAAAGGAAGGTTTTAACCTTAACAAAGTAAAATTACATATAATTTGGGAATTTGGGCGTAGCTTCTCTTACTACTTCCTGCTGGAGGGGGGCGCTGTATCTTATGGGGACACAAAGAAAATTTTAGGATTATGGAGTAGTCCGTGAGGCTGTATCGTCTGAGCCAGTTGCCTTTAAACCATTCTGGATGTTGGATCATGTGGGCCATGGTGTCATCAGAGACCTTTCAGGGGGTCTTGGCTGGTCAAACCTGATGTATCTTAATCTGGAACAAATCCATAGCCTCTTGCTTTCTGTGGAAACAAAAGCAGAGACTCTTTTCCAAAGCAACATGTCCTTATATCCAAATTTTGAAGTCAAGGTATCTTCAAAATACACATATTGGTTTAACTCAACATCTTTTACGATCAAACGTTTTTCTGCAGTTAAAAATCCCAAAGAGAACACAATCCAGATTCTCTGTGTAATATTCATCTTCACGTGGCTTATTTTTTATATTAATTTTACTGTCTCTTTAAAGACTATTTTTTTAAACTATGTATTTGTTTCTATAACTGTATATATCACCTTTTTTGTCTCTTTCAAGCCTATGTATATTTTACTCACATTGTAAACTATTACATCTGAATCTGTCTTATTGTGAATCTATTGCTTTAAGCTGCAGCAGCTGTGGCTGCTGGCTCCGCCCACCTCAGCTTCCCAACATGGCCGTGGTTTACCGCCAGCTCTGGGAGCTATCGTGGGTCTATGCTTTTATCCAAGCAGTGTGTAGCCCAGAAACCTCTTTTTTTTTGTTTTGTACTAGCAAAGGCTAAATCTACCACACGCAGCTTAATGTGCCACTTGCAGAGGCCTCATTCCCGCCATAGGGCATGCGCTAGGAACCCTCAAGTAGCTCAAACCAGCAGCTGCCGCTCATTTGAGAGAGACAGGAACTGTTTTTAGCTCCGTTTTAGAATCTTTTTTCTCAGTTTTTAGGTGGAAACTCTTGCCACCACGTTGGACGCCATTTGTAGCTAGAGTTTTCCTGCCTGGCCCACAGTCAGGACAAATCTCTCTCACCCGCCAGTCCCACAGCCACTCAAACCCAACCAAGTAAACACAGAGACTTATATTGGTTAAAAACTGTATGGCCACAGCAGGCTTCTTGCTAACTGTTCTTGCAGCTTAAATTAATCCATTTCCATTCATCTATATCTTGCCACATGGCTCGTGGCTTACCGGCATCTTCACATGCTGTTTCTCATCATGGCGGCTGGCAGTGTCTCTCTGACTCAGCCTTCCACTTGCCAGCTTTATTCTCCTCCTTGTCCCGCCTACACTTCCTGCCTAGCCAATGGCCAATCAGTGTTTTATTTATTGACCAATCAGAGCAACATATTTGCCATACAGAACATCCCACAGCACCACCCAGCCTTTTGTGTGAGCAGACATTTTATTTCTCGGTTCTCGAGCAAGTTTCAAGGCTTATATCATTATTATTTCCATCCATACACACGTCTCCCGTGGAGAACCCCAGCAGCCAGGCTTCTCCATTTGCTCAGCAGCATCCATGAGGACAAAAGCCACACTCCAGCCGAGACAGATGCACACGACGGGTTGTGAACTGGTCCAGCGGATAGGTCTTGCTCACCCTGCAAACCTCTGAAAGTTAAAAATCATTGTTTCAACATGTGAACAGGAGATTCCTTGTTACATATAGCCTTGGTAACTTCTCTTGAACAATCTCCCAACACTGGCCCAAAAGTGCACAGTGGCAGCTTCTTATTGAAGTAGGGTGAGGTCCCCAGCTCTCACCCCTTACCACCCTGGATTATTCTCTGCCATATTTGCTTCAGTGACAACATGGATAATTTACTGTTTGTGAGAATCATGTGCTTTACTAAGTCCATGTGCAGCGAGATGAAATGATAGCCATTGTTGTCCCCAGATTAGTATCTGTTGATTTCTTAACTTGGTCAGGACTTCCAGGCACAGTATTTTTCTTGTTAAAGAAGGGTCAGTATGAACTAATATTCTTTTTCTCTCTTAGGAGATTTACATGGCCAATTGGATGACTTAATTTTTATATTTTATAAGGTATGAACATTCAAATTAAGTTACTTTCTTGCTCTGAGGCTTAATTTAAAAGTTCAGATATGCCCTCAGTTACATAAATGCTTTACATAGCCTGTATTTAAAAAAAAAAAAAAAAAAAGCTGGGCGGTGGTGGCGCAGGCCTTTAATCCCAGCACTCGGGAGGCAGAGCCAGGTGGATCTCTCTGAGTTCGAGGCCAGCCTGGGCTACCAAGTGAGTCCCAGGAAAGGCGCAAAGCTACACAGAGAAACCCTGTCTCGAAAAACCAAAAAAAAAAAAAAGATTTATTTTTTTTTTTTGCCTGCATGTATTTCAGCACACCACATGCATGCAGTGCCCAAGGAGGCCAGAAGAGGGTGCTAGATGCCCTGGAATTGGAGTTACAGATGGTTGTGAGCCTCCATGTGGGTGTTGGGAATCAAACCTGGGTCCTCTGGAAGAGATCAGCCAGTGCTTTTAACTGCTGAGCCATCTCTCCAGCCCCAATCGCTTAGATTTTTAAAATATTATTTTAAATGACGTATGTGTCTGTATAAGACATGATATAAAAATCAGCTTTGCTTTTGGTTCTGGGTTTTGTTTTTTGTGTGTTTTTTTTTTTGTAAAATTTAGGCAAACCCAAATGTTGTATTGATAAGCACTTGGAATCATTATTAAGTGATTGATTTTCTATTTTTCCAAATAAAGAAGATTGCTATGGAACCAACCAAAGTTTTTTTATATCCATTTTAGCTATAAATAAAATGCATAATAATATGCATATTCAATATTTTATTAGTACAATATTACTTTGTATATCTACTGTATTTCAAAATCATCATATATAATAAAAAATAACATATAATAAAAAGAATATGTATAATCTTTTTTTTTCTTTTTAGTTTTTTTAAAATATGGTCTCATATAGACCAGGTTGGCCTTGAACTCCTGATTCTTCCTACCTCCACCTTTCAAGTGCTGGGATTACAGGCTGGCATGCTCAGCCTGATATTATCTTATTTAATCCTTATGAATCCATGGCAGTCATTATGACTATTTTTGTTATAGTCATTATGTACCTGAAACTTAAAAGTGGCTTCCATGTCACAAGACCGGTATCCTTTGGTTCACACTACATGGCAATGCTGTGTCTGTGCATCAAATGTCAGTTTGATGGGCGTCTCCTATCCTCAGCCTCTTTAGAAAGGAAACATAACACAACGGAAAACATTTCCCTTTTGGCTGGTGTTGCCATGTGGAGGAACCCACAGATCATGGGATCGGCTACGTCTGTCGCAGCTGCCTTTAACGTAATGTTCTCTTCCCCTCCTCCTCCTCTGTCTGCCTCTTCTTGGACTCATCTTCGGATGGAAGAACGGTCTACCATCGCCAGAGAGGGCGTACGTGTTCAACGGTGACTTCGTGGATCGGGGCAGGGACTCAGTCGAGGTCCTGATGGTGCTGTTTGCCTTCATGTTGGTTTACCCCAAAGAGTTCCATCTTAACAGAGGAAACCATGAGGACCACCTCGTGAACTTACGGTACAGGCCCAGACACGCTGGCTGTTGGGTGCTTGCTTTCAGTTGCAAAAAGTTCCTTCTCGCCGGGCGGTGGTGGCGCACGCCTTTAATCCCAGCACTCGGGAGGCAGAGCCAGGCGGATCTCTGTGAGTTCGAGGCCAGCCTGGGCTACCAAGTGAGTTCCAGGAGAGGCGCAAAGCTACACAAAGAAACCCTGTCTCGAAAAACAAAAAAAAAAAAAAAAAAAAAAAGTTCCTTCTCTACAGTCCTTACTTTAGACGCCTTTTAAACATAGTTTTCCTAGGGCTAAGGTTGTAGCTCAGTGATGGAGCACTTGTCTAGCATGCACAGGCCCTGGGTTCAATTACCAGGAAAAAAGGTTTTCTAATTTCTAAAAGAACACACAGTATATAATATTTTAAAACACTTTTTTAAAAAATTCCATGTTTTTTTACTATTGTAATAAGAACATTATATTTTTAACATATTAGTATTTTAACTTGTAAACAATAAGGATTCACTCAGAGAAAGTAGTAAATCTAGATAAACAAAAGGAATAGAATTTAAATAACATAATTTCTCTACCCAGAAATAATGGCAAAATTGTAAACTTCTTGATGATGATTTCTATCTCTCTTTTTTTTATGTATTCTAAGGGCACAAAAATAGAATAAACATTTTTATAAAATGTGATCACGCCATGACTTCTGTCACTAAATGCATCTTCCTGTGTGCTTTGCCTCTGTGTCCAGATACGGCTTCACCAAGGAAGTGATGGATAAATACAAGGTGTGCCCCTTTCCAAGCCAAACTTTCTTTTCCCTCAGACTGAGCTCTGTGACGCTGAATATTTTGTCGGTATCATTTCTCAGATTCATGGGAAGAAAATCCTAAGGACACTCCAAGATGTCTTCTGCTGGCTTCCGCTGGCCACACTGGTTGATGAGAAAGTCCTGGTTCTTCATGGCGGAGTCTCAGACAGGACTGACTTGGAACTTCTGGCTAAACTAGACAGGCACAAGGTACTGATTCATGAGCTGATACAAATCTCACGTTCTGTCTAGTCACACTGTCAATGTAAAATAAATGTCAGCTTGCATGGTAACTGGTGAGAATGTGGAGAAAGGGCTGAGGGTTGACAGGGAGCAAGTGTGCTGTAATCCATTAGCAATGTCTGTCATGGACACAAAACAGGGGAGTGGCAGCCAGTGCTGTGTGTTTGCCACCCTTGATTTAGATGACTCTAATTAACTGTCCCTTAATACCATCACCTGAAGAGCCTCTATTCCCCAAATAATTTATATCCCCAAATGATTCATATCTGAATCATCTAACTAAATTCAACCCGGGTGTATTCAGCACCTAGCATGGGCAGGGAGGATGCTTGCTTGCCACGTGCAAGGACAATACCATGGAGATATGAAAATGATCCAGAGCCTGCCTGCCCTTCAGGAGCCTACAACAGCTCTGTGTGCCGGCAGTGGAGGTAGAGGGTGTGGCACGGAGTGGATTATAGCCGATGAACAATAGCTTCCTAGTGTCCATTCCACTTTAGAAACAGAGGCCTGGAAAACAAAGGCTTTGTATTCTTCTCATAATAGACTCTTGAACTTTTCATGGTATGTCAGGCATCTACCCTCCAACTGTCCCATGGCCACTGCTGCTAAAACATTCTCTGTGGCGCTTTCCTGACCGTTCCAACAACATGGAACTCGTTACAGAAGTCGCTGCCTTGACTCTGAATGTCTCTGGTGGCTGTGGATGTACACCACAGCACACAGTTTGAGAGTCAGGACTGGCTTTGAGTCTTGGAATTTTCAGGTATCAGGTGACATGGCAAACTTTGTTCCGTGTCACTGTCTAGAGAATCATCCTGGAGATCTGTATTGCCAAGAAAACATACTGCCATGTCCTCCCGGACAAGGGGGCAGGCGGGGGGAGGGGGGTGGTTTGCAGGTGTGTGTGTGTGTGTGTGTGTGTGTGTGTGTGTGTGTGTGTGTGTGTGTAATACAGAGGCTTTGCCCCTTCCAAAACAAGCCAGAACTTGCAGGGTTTCCACTTTCATCCCCCTCATCAGACCGTGGTTACATGGGACCCCTACCCTTGCAGAGAAGCTGGAAACAAAGTATTTTATGGTTGGCCATCTGCTCAGCAAGAAAGTTGCAGTTTATATCCTGTGAGAAAAAACCGTGAGAGAGATCTGGGAGGAATGATAGTCTTTGCCACAAAGATGTTCAAGTAAGAAAGTGGGGGCTGGAGAGATGGCTCAGTGGTTAAGAGCACTGGCTGCTCTCCCAGAGGACCCGGGGTTCAATTCCCAGCACCCACATATCAGCTCACGACTGTCCCTAACTCCAGTTCCAGGGGATCTGACACCTTCATACCAACACACATAAAATAAAGTTAAATAAATTATTTTTTAAAAAAAGAAAGAGTTGCCTGAGTAGGCAAAGCCTGGCTTGAGAAGTGAGGCAGAAAGGGATAAAAATCCTGGTTCTTCTGCTTAGAATTTGTGGCCTTGGACAAGCTAACTTAACATGACCTTAGATTTAACTTGTATAATGGGGATACGAATAAATTGTATTGTTGGCACTGGGAAGATTAAATGTAAATATGTTACACATGCCTTATAAAACGATGCTTACCTTTGGCTGAGGTGACAGAAAGGTCCAAAGGTCTCTGTTAAATATTGATCTCTTGTGTAAACGAAGGTCTGTAGCAACATCGCTGCAGTCTTAGGAACTTGGAATTCTTGCTGATCTGCCACAGTGCATCATGATCCAAGATGGCTGCTTGAGTTCCTTCCAGTCATCGTGATCACATCCTAGCCAATTAAAAAGAACAGAAGAAAGACAGCTCTTTTCTTTTATGGACACCCCGTGGCCCCCAGCATTCTCTTCTGATCTAATTGACAAGAACCTAGTCAAATGGCTGTGTTTACCTGAAAGGGAAGTTTGCGAACACACTCTTTATCCCAGAGTACATGACCCTTACTGAAGACTAGGGAGACAGAAATTAAAAACAGGCCTAAGTTAGGGCCGCAACACTGACTTAGTTTGTCCTGCTGGCCTCCTAAACTTTTACGCACGCACACCCTTCCTCAACACACAGAACCAGGCTCACGGCACAGAGCTACATGGGGCTCATTGAGTGCTTACATTGCCTCAGAGTCCAAGGTTTCTGCACTCAGGTTCTACCTATCAGGTTTGGGTATGGCTTCTTGGGATTTGGTGGCCAAGGGACAAGTTACACATCCCTGTGTCCCCAAACTCAGTGTTCGAAGATGAAAAAGATACATTCTTTAGCAAATGCTGGTTTCCTTAAAGACTTTTATGGCAGTGTGAGAGCCTGTGCCGGCCAGAGGATGGCGCTGGATCCCCTGGAACTGGAGTTACCTGTGGTCGTGAGGTGCCTGACGTGGGTGCTGGGAACTGAACTCCAGGCCAAACGTGAGCAGCAAGTGCTGTTAATTCTTAACTGCTGGGCCAGTTCTTCAGCCTTCACATTTCTTTTTTTTTTTTTTTTTTTTTGGTTTTTCGAGACAGGGTTTCTCTGTGTAGTGTTGTGCCTTTCCTGGGACTCACTCTGTAGTCCAGGCTGGCCTCGAACTCACAGAGATCCACCTGGCTCTGCCTTCCGAGTGCTGGGATTAAAGGCGTGCGCCACCACTGCCCGGCCACATTTCATTTTTAAAATAAGATTTTTTTTTGAGTGTTTTGCCTGCATGTATGTATGTGCACCATGAATATGCTTGCAGATGTAGGGTGAGGGCACTGGACCCCTGAAACTGGAGTTTCAGATGACTGAACTACCATGTGGTGTGCTGGGAATTGAAGCTGGGGCCCCTGAAAGAACGGCAAACGTTGATCCATCTCTCCAGCCCCCATCCTTAGCTTTAGTTGGTCCTCTCACCCATCACCTCTTTCTCCATGTCCCTCCCCCTTATACTCTTGAGAGTGAAGGGCCCTAGAACCTATCAATCAGTTCTTCGTGTTTCCCTTGTTAAATCTGCATGTTGCCTGGCACCTGTCTTTTTTAAGCTTGGTATTTCACAAACTTTGAGTCCAGACCTTCTGTTCAGCTGTGTTTCCATCTGGAGGTAGAGACAGCAAGCCGCAGAAGAACCAGTTAGCTCATGGGGAGAACGGTATGTAGCCGTGAAAACACAGAAGTGGGAGGAACTTTGGAAAGAGTCAAAGGAACAGTTTATTTTCATGGCTTAGCACATGTTAACTTCCGAACATTTAGTTGGTCAAGTTCTGTGGCGGGGCTGGTGCAGCGGTTTGTACCACCTGGGGAGCACCTGGGGGGTGGGAGGGCTCCAGTCAGACTAACTGGATTGGGTGCAGGAAGAGTCTCGGTTTCTCTGTGTCTCAGTTTCCTTGGCTATCGTAAATGATGATGCTCCCATAGAGCTGGTGAGAACGTGGGTTGACTTATGAAAATTGTGAGGAGTAGTACCTCACCTCACCCACTGGAAACGCTCAAAACACTGGAACCCGAAGTTTCCCTAAGAATCAAAGTTAGAGACACTTCTGGGGGCGGGTGATGGAATCCTTAAAGTTTCCCGAGAGGTGACGGGGTGTCAGTGGTGACTGACTTTTGCTGTGAGAATGCAGGGAGAAGGGGCTGACTAGGATCCAGATGATCTCAACACCCCCCCCCACCCCCCACCCCATTCTCTCTCTCTCTCTCTCTCTCTCTCTCTCTCTCTCTCTCTCTCTCTCTCTCTCTCTGTTGTTAGGAAAGGATCAATCGTGTAGCACCTGTCCAATGTCTGTACAGCCTCATTGCCTCCACGCAGTGTGGATTCTTTTCAGGCCACATTCATCCTGCTGGCCCTCTCCAGGACTTTTCTTTGCTCTTGTCCTAAGCCAGTCCACCCTGGGATGGGTCTTTTTTTTTTTTTTGCATCTATTTGCGCGGGGAGGGAGGGGGACCCCCCATTCTGTGCACATACACTCACAGAGTTCTTTGCCTCCTCAGCCTTCCTGGTAGCCCTCGGCTCCAGGGATGTTTGTCTTTGTATATATTGCCACGCAGTTCCGTGTCAGACCCCTGTCCTTCCCGAGAACTGCATTCTATTTCTTTTTCGACTCGGTCCCAGCACCACGATGACTGAGTCGGTGACGGCCTCCTTCTGCGGCAGGTAGAATCACAGCATTTCCAGCAGATGGCGCCAAACCCCGCACAGAAGAGATTTTTGTTTGTTTTTCTCTGTGTGCTCTATGTCAGAGGCAGGATCTTGCCCGTCCATGTTTTATGCCCTGGTCCTGACTCTGTATTGCTACTGTTCCATTTGCGGGTATTTTTAAGCAAAAGAAGGGTTCCTTAATGGTAATGCTGTGACTGTCCACCAGAAAACCTAGGCTACATGATGGATGGGTGGATGGACAGCGGGGGTGCGCTACACACAGGGGTGACTCACATAGCGCACAGTTTTCCTTTGGAGACACAAAATGTCACTATGTGTTTTGCAAAAATATGTTAAATATGAATAATTTAAACATGAAATGCAACAAAAAAAGATATAAGCCTGCCAATCACGTGTTTGAATGTGGTGGCCGTATGGGATTGCTGTTCGAAGTTCTGAGGGTTGCTCTCGGGATCTGGCTTGTCTCAGCCCAGGAAAACTGCACAGAGCAGCATGGTTTGTGGACTCCAAGGTTTAGGACCTGGATGCCGGAGCCGTAGTCTGAAAGGACTTAGCATTTCATTCCTGCAAGTGTGTGTGTGTGTGTGTGTGTGTGTGTGTGTGTGTGTGTGTGTGTATATTTATTTATCTATTTATTTTTGAACATGTCTAGATTGTTTCTACCTTGAGATGCAAAATGAGAAAGGAAAGTGAGAATCGGGAGGAGCAGAAGAGAAAAGTCAGCCAGACAAGCTCTGAACAGAGACCTACTCCGTGGTTTCTTCCTCAAAGCCGCTCTCTCCCCTCTTCGCCTTTTCACCCGGGCTCTGGCTTTAAGACCCACAAAGCCTGCCGGTCCTGCAGCATTCCCTGCGGCTCGGTTGACCACAAAGGGCAGTCCCGGCAGGGACGGCACTCGGTGGACCTGGAGCTGGAGCGGTGCCGGGAGCAAGCCGGCTTCCCAGGGGTCAGAGAGAAGGGGGAGCCCTTGCCCTTGGCCCCCGACACCCACTGTGATGCTGATGCGGGTGGGGTCCTGGACCCCACTCCCGAAGAGTGGAAGCAGGTAGGTGTGGCTCGCTGCTGCCTCTCAGAATGTCTGCGGTCTGGGAGACCAACAGATCAAAACTACTGTATAAATGAAGGAGGTTTACCAAGGTCCCTCTTTCTATCAAGAATTTTAAAACTCCAGGACATTAGTTTTTGTCTAAAAACTCATGTTAATGTTTTGTAATGAGTGGGGAGAGGCTGTTGCCCAAGAATACCTGTTCCAGGATTTGGCATCACCTGGGGATGCAGGTTAGGTACCACTCAGTGGATTCTTTTCCATGTTAATTTTATGGAGGAAGCTGGCCACTTCAGCACAAGACCAAAAGAACTAGCCAGTAGCTTCTGCCCTGTTTTTAGGAAAGTATGGGCTTCCCCAGCTCTCTAGAACTCTGTCATTTGGCCATCCCTAGCTGCAAGGGAGTCTGGAAAAGTGTGGCTAGTAGGACTCATGGCTACCCCAAACACAATCATTCTGTCAGGACAGATGAAAACAAATAGGCAGATAAGGAGCACGCACTGCACAGTGTGGCCCATCGCTTGCCAAAATGGGAGACCCGGGAAAACAGGGGAAAGAGACATTTACAGGGGCAAGGCTATGTCAGGGAGGCCCCTGGAAGGGCTAGCCTGGTGTCTCAGTTAGGTTTTTGGTTTTGTTTTTCTTTTTTGAGATGGGGGTTTCTCTCTGTAGCCCTGACTGTCTTGGAACTCACTATGTGCCAGGCTGTCCTCAAACTCAGAGATCCACCTGCCTCTGACTCCCAAGCGCTGGAATTAAAAGCATGCACCACCATACCTGGCTGCTGTTTAGTTAGGGTTTCTATTGCTGTGATTAAGCACCATGACCAAGAATAACTTGGGAAAAAAGGGTTTATTTTGCTTACACTTTCACATCATGGTCCATCACTGAGGAAATTCGGGGCAGGCCCTCAAACAGGGCAGGAATCTGGAGGTAGGAGCTGATGAAGAGGCCGTGGAGGAGTGCTGCTTACTGGCATGCTCCCCATGGAATGCTCAGGCTGTTTTCTTATGTACCCCAGGTCTACCTGCCCAGGGGTGGTAACATTCCCGGTGGAATGGGTCTGGCATATGAATTATTAATCAAGACAGTACCCCACAGACTTGCCTATAGGCCAGTCTCAGGGAGGCATTTTCTGAGCTGAGGTTCCCTCTTCTCAGATGACTCAAGCTTGTGTCATGTGACATAAACTTATCAGCACACCTGGTGACCAGGTTGGAGATGATGTTGGTGGTCTTGGGCAGTTACAGAGCTATGAAAACTTGATGGTGTCATCATTTGTCATCTACAAAAGTGGCAGTTTCATAAAGTTCATCCAATAAAGAAAAGAATTCAGAATCTTTTGAAAGCTAAAGTGAGCAGAAGCAGCCACTGGCTGGACAAAGGAGGGTGAGGAACAGACGCCACACTCTCCCAGAGTTATTGATCTGGGCTTCAACACCAGCTTACACTTGAAACTTAAAATGGAAGTCTTTCCTTCTGCAACACGTGACCCAATCGTGTGCAGATACTTATAAGTCAAATGCATTTTTCCTGAAAAGTACATGCAGAAAGTATTACATGTCTTTGCTCCAAATCCACATCTGCATTGGATAAGACTGGCAATGGAAAACGCTTCTCTGAGTGTGAGCAGGAGCGGGGAACCTGAGCTGCTGGAAAGACTTCTCAGATCTTCTGCGGCTTTGCGTCAAAATCCTTAAAATACTTTAAAAAGCAAAACATTGTTTGAGCTGCTCCAGGACCACAGCTAGGGGCTGTGAACTCCCCAGGGGAGACTGTCGGCCATTTTTAGGAGCTCTGCCTTCACTTTGGAGCCAGGGTGCAAGGGCCTGGGATGCAGACTCTGACCAGGGGTAGCACAGTAGCCCTTATGCCCAGCTGTTCCCCGAGTAATGCTACCTCTTCTACATGCTGACCTTCTACATAAGATTTACCTTCAAGAAAACGGGTATGTACTTACCAGTCAATAGGTGTGTACACTCATTCGTGAAACAAAACACTTCTAAGCTGCCTGCCTGCGATCCCTATCCTTGGGAAGTAGAGGCAGGAGGATCAGCTGTTCAGAATCATTCTCAGCCAGCCTGGGCTACACAAGACCATGTCTCCAAACAAACAAACAAAGACATCTGAAGCACTTGGGAGGCTGAAGTAAAAGAATCACTGTGGGTTCAAGGACAGCCATGGCTGCTTAGCAAGACCCTGTCTCCAAACAAACAAACAAACAAACAAAAACAAACAGCAAAAAGATGTGACAAATCTTTTTAAAGGCAGCCTCAGCATCCAAAATATAAACATGGGACTGGAGAGATGGCTCAGTGACTAAGATCACTGGTCACTCTTCCAGAGGACCCTGGATTTGATTCCCAGCATACATAGGGTATCTCAAAACCATCTATAACTCCAGTTCCAGGGAACCCAACACCCTCTCTGGCCTCCTTGGCCAAATAAAACTTCAAAATATAAACGTGACAAATATTAATTGCATAGAAATTTATTCATTTCCTCCTATTTTTTCCTTCTCTCCCTCCCTCCTCGGCTTCCTGCTCCCCACCCTCTTCCTCCACCTCTTTCTGTTTTTCCTGTGAATGACTGAGTGGATATGTACCTTGGTCTTCCTAGGTTGTAGATATTCTGTGGAGTGATCCCATGGCTCAGGAGGGCTGCAAGGCCAACACTGTCCGAGGAGGAGGCTGTTACTTCGGGCCTGATGTGACAGAAAATTTGCTGGAGAAATACAAGCTGCAGTTCCTGATTCGTTCGCATGAATGCAAACCCGAAGGCTATGAATTCTGCCACAAGCGCAAGGTGGGCTGAGCCTCTGCAGCAGTTCACATTTGTGACGCAGAAGTGGTTCAAAGTTTTCCTCCCAGGAGCTGACGCCCAACTGTACCTAGGGTGTGTTACCTACTTGCCCAAGGCAGCTAGGTACTGTGTGCGTGTGTGTGCGTGTGTGTGCGTGCGTGCGTGCGTGCGTGCGTGTGTGTGTGTGTGTGTGTGTGTGTGTGTGTGTGTGTACGCGCGCGGGAAGTCAACATTGGGTATCTTCAGTTCTCCTCCACCGCGTTTGTTGAGGCAGGTCTCTCACTGAGTCTGGAACTCCCCAATTCATCTAGACTGGCTGGCCAGTGAGCCCCATGTTATTGCATTTGGAGATACCCAAATACACAAGATCTACCTGGACAGTGCTAAATCCAGTGCCTTGAAGGGATGTTTGAGGCAATTGACCGCAAACCATGTGACTTGGAGGTAAAGATGTGTCTGGGGGAGCACTGGCTCCCTGTGTCCATCAATCAAAAAGGGTCTTATGTGTCCCTTGCTGCATTGGGGCAGCTCACTAGCTTTAGAACTAATTTGCTTGCTACACACGACTGCCCCAGTTCATGAGACCCAGCCTGCTTCCAAGATGAGCCAAAAAAGGTGTATTACCCCTTTGCTTAAAACAACGTCTGCTGATTTTACTTAGGATAGAAAAGTGAAATCATGTTATGGATCTCCAATCAGTTTGAGTGTCTACAACTTAAGTCACAATTCTCTAACAGCATTGAGGACAGAGAGAGGGGTGGAGGAGGAGGAGGAGGAGGAGGAGGAGGAGGAGGAGGAGGAGGAGGAGGAAAGGTGGAGAGAAGGGAGGGAGGGAGATCCGTAGATGAGTGTGAGCAGCAGCCCCGATGTGAGTTGGCCAATGGATTGAAGATGAAGATTCTTCAGTGTGCATAAATTTTGTGTGTCCTCTGTTTTGATACAGGTGTTAACCATCTTCTCTGCCTCCAACTACTATGAAGTTGGCAGTAACCGGGGTGCCTATGTTAAATTGGGACCAGCCCTGACTCCGCATATTGTGCAGTATCAAGCTAACAAGACGACACACAGGCTAACCATGAGGCAAAGGCAAGCTTTTTAATGAGTGGTTATCAGAAAAACATTTTTTCTGAGCAGTGGTGGTGGTGCACGCATTTAATCCCAGCAGTTGAGAGACAGAGGCAGGTGGATCTCTGTGAGTTTGAGGCCAGCCTGGTCTACAAAGTGAGTTTCAGGACAGCCAGGTCTGTTACACAGAGAAACCCTGTCTTGAAAACAAAACAAGAGAGAGAGAAAGAGAGAGGGAGAGAGGGAGGGAGGGAGAAATTTAGTGCTTAGAAACATTAGATGCCATTGCATTTATTCAAATTCTCCAGAACAGTCAGAATTTAGCTACATTCGTATTAAAATCTAGAATAGACGTCGCACCAGATCCCTGTCTTGTTCTCTCTGTTGTTGTTTTTGTGGTTCCTCAGTTTCTTTTTCTTTATGAGACAGGGTCTCACTGTGTAGCCTTATGTGCAGCCTTAACTGGCCAGGAACTCGCTCTGTAGACCAGCACGGCTTTGAACTCATAGAGATCCACCTGCCTCTGCCTCCTAAGCACTGGGATTAAAGGGTTGTGCCCAGTACTGGTTTCTTTTCTTTCTTTCTCTCTCTCTTTCTCCCTCCCTCCCTCTCTCCCTCCCTCCCTCTCTCCCTCCCTCTCTTTCTTTTTCTTTCTTTCTTTCTTTCTTTCTTTCTTTCTTTCTTTCTTTCTTTCTTTCTTTCTCTTCCTTCCTTCCTTCCTTCCTTCTCTCTCTCTCTCTCTCTCTCTCTCTCTCTCTCTTTCTTTCTTTCTTTCTTTCTTTCTTTGCTTCTTTCTTTTTTCTGCTGTGAGACAGGCTCTCCTGTAGTCCAGGCTGGCCTCAACCTCACACACAGGTGAGGATGACCTCCACTTTCTGTTCCTTCTGCCTCCACCTCCCAAGAGCTGAGAATACAGGCCGCCAAGCCCACACCTGCCCACTTCTGTTGTCTGTTATCGTAAGGAAATATCTGATGCGAGGTACTTACAAAGAAAAGGAGCTTACTTAGCATATAGTTTTGGAGGCTGGAAGAGTAAAATTGGGCAGCCCCTTGGTCTGTCCTTGGCGAGGACCTAACTGCAGATGGCATCTCATCAGAGAAAGATCACAGCTTGAGGTGGGAAGCAGACAAAGGAGGAGCCTTAGGTTCCTTCTATTTTAATAGCTCTCTCACAGAACTCAGTCAAGAGTCCCAGGAGAAGTGCCTTCATCTCGTGTGTGTGTGTGTGTGTGTGTATGAGTGTATGTGGTGTGGTGTGTGTGTGTGATGTGTGTGTATGAGTGTGTGTGTGTATGAGTGTATGTGGTGTGGTGTGTGTGTGTGTGTGTGTATGAGTGTATGTGTGTATGAGTGTATGTGGTGTGGTGTGTGTGTGATGTGTGTGTATGAGTGTGTATGTGTATGAGTGTATGTGGTGTGGTGTGTGTGTGATGTGTATGTATGAGTGTATGTGTGTATGAGTGTATGTGGTGTGGTGTGTGTGTGATGTGTATGTATGAGTGTGTGTGTGTGTGTGGTGTGGTGTGTGTGGTATGTGTGTATGAGTGTGTGTGTATGGTGTGTGTGTGGTGTGTGTGAGTGTGCGTGTGGTGTGGTGTGTGTGTGTGGTATATGTGTGTGTGTGGTGTGGTGTGTGTGTGTGGTGTGTGTGCATGAATGTGTGTGTGTGGTGTGTGTGTGGTGTGTTTGTGTGGTGTATGTGTGTGTGGTGTGTGTGTATGACTGTGTGTGTGTGTGTGTGGTGTGGTGTGTGTGTGGTGTGTGTATGGTGTGGTGTGTGTGTGTGTGTGTGGTGTGTGTGTGGTGTGTGTATGGTGTGGTGTGTGTGTGGTGTGTGTGTGTGTGTGTGTGTGTGTGTGTGTGTGTGTGTGAGATGACCTAAGAACCTTGTTCTCAGCCCCACCCTCTAAAAGTCCCATCACCACAGTTCGGTCCAAGTCCCCAGCACATGAACCTTTGGAGAACAAGTCCCAGCAAAGCAGAGCAGCCTGCTTCTCCACACCCTCTCATCTCTTTGCCCTCCCATCACTGACAACAGGTGCCTCTGGCTGAGATCCCGGTATCAGGCCACTGAGTCCGGTCAATGTTGTTCTATTTCCTGCTCCCCGGGAAGGATTTGTGCTACCCTAAGTCCTTTACCCGTGGGACTTGGCAAATAGATTCCAGAGCACAGGTTTGTTAACTGTGAGCCTTTCTGGGAAGGAAGCGTGGGATAGAATTTGACTGGTTCTAGATTTGGAGTTCTAACCTAGTTGAGAACTTACTGTATGTTGAGAGTTATAAAGAATTTACATACATCATCTCACACTGAGTTTGTGAAATGTACCTATTTCGTTTTATCAATTTCGTGTTGATAGATGAATTCCCTAGGAAACAGAGCTCAGCTCAGCTAGTCCGAAGTGAGGGAGGCAGTCTGCGCCCTGCTGGTTTGATCTAGTGTTTCTGGGTTGAAAGACTGTTCATTATCGCCTCCCATGGAGAGGAGGGCTTCAGGGTGAATGAGTGCTTGCTGAGAGGCCCGGTTTCAGTTCACCGAACAGTCTTCTTTAATTATTCAGTCAAACTAAATTAAAAATCAAAATAGACAAAGTTAGCATAAATCAAGTGGGTAGAGATTTAAAATATTAACGATGTAACATTGACTTTGAGTCCAACCTTTTTCAGAAAGAAATGTGACATAAAATGTAGACTGCCCACAGAGAATCAATCCTCCCGTGAATCCAAATCATCCTTGGAACTTAATTAAAAAACAAAACAAAACAAAATGAAAACCCAGCCCCTGAGCTCCACACAGGGTACTCAGCTGCTCCAGGGAAATGGACCCAGTACGGAAAGGCTACAGTTTTTAGGACTTAGCTGTTGTCACTACAAAAGGAGTCACCCAGGGGGACCAAGTGTGCTTTACTAAGAAGATCAAAGAGATCCCACTCATGGGAAACACTGAGTGCTTTAAATAAGTACTTTGCCTAATTTCCCCAGAAGTCGCTATCAACAGCATCAGTCACCTGCAGTGTTGTGATGAACACACACAGACACAAACACACAGACACACACACACACACACACACACACACACACACACACACACACACACACACACACAATGTGCAGAGTTCCAGTTGATACAGAGAACCTCATCCATCCAGAAGATGGTCCAGGCTTTGCTACCCCAGGTCCCTGCTTAACTGTCAAAGACTACTACTGTTTGCAAGGACATCTTTTCAATGACTTCGCTAACTGATTCTTTTTAGGGTCCTATTAGCTCCTGATATAACAAAAAAATTCTAGGCAAAGCCTGTGTGCTCATACACCTGTGCAATCTGGACCAAGTTTTAGATAGCTCACACAAAGGGTTAATGCAACACACGTATGGATTGCTAGTTAAATAACTTATTGCAATGAACATTTCTCTTCTAAAAAAAAACAAAAAACAAAAAAAACTTTTTTTTTTTTTGTAAGAATGTCTCTTGTAATCCAGGCTGGCCTTGAACTTGCTATGTAGCCAAGACTAACCTTGAACTCCTGAACCTTCTGCCTGTGCGTCCAGAGTTCTGGGATTATAGGCATGTACCACTACACCTGGCCAATGAATATTTTTATCAAACCTAACAAAATGCTTTAAGAAATAGTTTTCACTTGAAAAGAAAGGTTCGCTAATCATTTATAGAATGGCTGGCTCTTTGATATTACAGATTAAGTACACTGGTTTTTTCTTTAATCTCTTGTCCCTTCAATTACAAATATTTATTGAACATCTATTTTGGGCCCAGTGCTATGCCCATAATTATTTGATTGATCCAATAAAAATGAGAAAATAGGGTTAGGGCCAGAGTTTGT